AAAAAATAAAAAAAAACAAGCAAAAATAAACAAAAATATATCAATAGACTTGTTATATCTTTCAAAAATCTGGTGCCTTTGTTTGATTTTCACCCACTCTAATGAAAGACTAATGGAACGCAGGCAATCTGCCACTAGCATATGAACACACACAGGCGTGTGCGCGCGCACACACACACACACACACACACCACACAGGAAACCCCCCCCCCCCCCACCCGCGGAGGCTCTCAGATTTTAATTAAGAAAAAAATGAGGAAGAGGTTCCATTTTAGCCAAATTGGTCCCCACAGCAGCAAAGGTAAGGGAATAAAATGAGGGATGGAGGAGTAAAGGGAGGCAGACACAGAGAAAAAGACACACAGGAGGATAAAACAAAAAAAAGAGGAAGGAGATCTATGCTTCCTTTGACACAGCGTAGGACACGTCTCAAACAATGAAGACATCCCCCCCCTCCTAACCACCTCCTTCTCCTCTTCCCTCTTTAAAATCTCCCATCTCCTCCCTGTCTTTTCACCCCACCATCATTAGAGAAATGACAGACCAGGTGCCTCAGTCCGCAGCGAGAGGGAGATGTCACTGTGATCTTTCCACTGCCGAGGAACAAAAGAGAAAGGGACAGAGAGAGAACTTCTCTCCACGGCTACATTAAATGGCTTCTGATATATAAAGTCACCTCAAATTTTGTGGTAAATTGCTGCAGACAGGTGCTTGGTTGGTCTGTTAAAAGCCTTTTGTACGGTCTACTAATGGCAGTATACTCTTAACCTTAGCTGAGATTATCACACTAGTCGTTACTGTTATGTACAAGGGATTTCTGTGCACAGGGAGAAAAGTGTACAGTGTGTGTCTGACCACTTTCAAAGTGTGCAATTGTGTCTTTTGTCTCAAGCTCAATTTACATCCACACTTCTTTCTCCTTCTCTGCCTACATCCTAATCCTTTTGCTTTTGTCTCCTGTGATGCTTTTCTCCACTTCTAGATCTCTTTACTTCACTCTGTCCTTCTTTTACTACACCCCCCTCCCTCTACTTCTCTTTCTTTTCTTTTCTTTATTTATCTTTTGCATAGTGGCCTGCGCCTTGTCAGAAGCCACAAGCAGCCTTGTCGTAAAAGGCATAATGTGTCACCTCCTGTCCATGTACCGCACGCTCCGCTCTTAACAACTTATTGAAAAGGTAATGCACGAGGCTTGGACTAATTATATTAAGTGACAATTTAGCGGCCGAGGTTCCTTTTTGCTCTTCAGCTCACGCTTCTCTCTCTCCCTCTCGTCTATAAATGTGCAAGTCTGTGGGTTTGTCGAATGGCACTCAGTGTTTCAAGTCAAGCTGGTGGCTCAGCTTCTGACCTGGCTGGTTAATGGCTGTTATTTGTGGGAGGGAGGAGTGGACTCTGCCAATGTTGCTCTCTCTCCCTCTTTCTCCCTCCCCCCTTTCCCTTCCTTCCCCCTCGGCTCTGCTGATGGTAATGGCCATGATGACAGAGGAAACGAAGAAGAGACACAGAAGTAAAAAGTAGAAAAATACGGAGATGGAGAAATTTAGGAGGGAAGCGGGAAGGAAGAAGGAAATAGAAAGATGAAAAATGCTGGGAAGCAGGAAGGGGCCTTGAAAAAAAGGATGCAGGAGATCCTCAGGCTCCTTTATTAAAACTATTATTGTGCAGGACTTGAGAATTCCCCCCGGGGCAGGGGTCCATGTCGAAGCCCATATAATTAACTAGAGGCTCAGCTACGGATCAATTACCAGACAAGCAAGTGATAGCCGAATCAATGGAAGATCATCAGGCTCGTTATCAGTGTTGCAACTCATTAGAGGAAAAGTGAGGTAGTGAAAAAGGAAAAGAAAAAGGGGATGGGGGAGTGAGGGTGGTCCGGTGAGGCAGGAGGGGAGTGGAGGGTTGGTGGCAGCGTGTTAGCCCAGAGGCTGATGAGTGTGTGTTGGATACTGGTGTGTGATGGGTTGTAGTCCTCCTTAGCTGCCACTGAGCAGTGACAGGGGGAGCCCTGTATGACAGAGTGCAGCCCGCTCAGTAGCAACAGTCACTGAGGCTTGTATGGATCAATACAAGTGTGTGCATGAGGTTAAAGCTCTGCTATGGCATCCTTATTCCCCAGTGACTCACACGCTCAGTCTGGGGTGCAATCCTACAACCCAAGCAGTCAGAGAGGGATTGACAAGATTGAAGAGTTACAGAGCAAAGCCTACATTTTCAGAGTCAAAATTGTAAGAATATGTTACCCCAAAAATGTAACCCCCCATTCCCGAAATGTTAATGAAAGCTGCATTTTATGTCATTTTAAGAGATAGAAACTGAAATTATAATTGAGTTGATTTGATTCTGTCATAAAACACACACACAATCCAAATATTCCCAAGGCAAAAAAGGAAAACAATAAATCAGCTACAGATACAATCCAAAATGGGATCCAGACATGCAAAGACAACAAATATAAGATAGAATAACATTTTAAAAACTATAACACAGAACACTGAAGCAAACTTAATTTGTTCAGTTGATTTTTTTTAATAATGGACAAAAAAGTGTGTAAAAATTGAGAGCCATCCTGCAGCACTATTCAGTGTCCAGTCTTCTGCTCACTACATCCCAAACTTAGCTATCTTTGTAAAAATGCCTACAATATATTAAATAATCAAAAAGAATCACTTCTGCAGTGACTTGAGATTTGGATCATTCCACACACATTGAGGGTTTTTTTTTTCTTCTTTTTTTTTTTTACAGAAAATGAATTGGGTTTTTTTTCAATTGATGTTATTAAAAGAATCTATTCTTTGTGAAAGAATGTAGTATGAACACTTTTCATCATTAATTTGGGGAAACATGAGCTCAGTAATTATAAAAAATATGAGTTTTTGAGTAAGCCCTGTCTTCCTGTCTTATTTTTATTATTTCCTGAACAATGCATAACCTTGAGTAAATATAAAATCTTGATCGATAGATTTAGGCCAACAGAGTGAATTTATCAAATAATTTTTTTAGATGTACTTTGGTCAACACATTAACTGTTTGTATTCTCCTGTTGTAACTGTTTTTATTTTCAAGAATTTTGTATGCTGCTGTTTATTAGACAAAACATCACAGGAATAAGACAGGACAGCAAACGTAACTTAATTCAATTACAATACAATACAACTAGTTCTGTGTAGTGTATGCAGTATGGCAGTGGAACTTGTTCTGTGTATCAGGCTACTGTATAAAACTTTGAATTTTAATTCTTAACTCTATACATCATACCACTTACAATGGCATGTAATACTGTAATATATATTTATTGTTCTGTGATTTGTAGAGATGTAACATGCTTTAAGTATGGTATAAATATGATTCCAACTAGTCACAAGTTGTAATAGAAATACAGATTAATTGTTTTAAATAAGTATTAAATGCATA